GAAGACCGCGCACTTTGACACATTGACACAACGCAGGTTCTAGCTTTCTTGGAAGCGTGGGACCGGTGCGATTTCGTGAGCGCGGCCGCCTAACGTCATTTAAGCAGATTTTGTGTGATTTTTAGTAAATATATAAATCATGATTGATACAAAACTAGGTCGAGGTTTTCAGTGAGAAGCTCCCCAGGGGTACAGAAGGGGAATGTCGATCGAAAGACGTGAAATAACAATGAAAAAAAATTTGTCAGAACTAGCTGCAATGGACCTCAAAAGCAATTTAAGCATGATTGTTTCAATAGAAATACAGATATCATCCCTAAAGATCCGTATTTACGGTGTCAGAACGATACACGGGAAGTGGAATGATTTATTCAGGGAACAGCACCCTTATATACCCACATTCTCTATCATGCCTATCCTCTTGATCCTTCCTTCATTCCTTACTTTCACACGTTCTCTCACACTCCCTTACACCTGCCCTTGATGACCCTACCGTCACTCATCATGGGGGGTCAACCCTTGTGCGTTGATTCTTGGTACATAACAGAACGCTTGAATCAAGCTCATTTACTAAATTGTTTTTATTGCTCAACACTTGCGAGTCTAGCAATAAAAACGATTCAATAAATGAGCTTGGTCCTTCCCTAGCGTCTTGATCGCTTTGCCCACCACTGAAGCGACTGTGACTCCGACGCCTTGGGCTACTTCAGCTGCGGCGACTTCGCTTCGGCTCCGGTTGGGGCGGCTTGATCAGCTATGGCGGCTTGTTGAGCTATGGGCGGCGTCGAGCTGCCTGTGATCTCTGGGGCCCGACGGCGTTGCGACACAAGACACCACAGTCAGCCACCCCGTCACCGGCAGTGTCTGCACCGCTAAGGCCGCCTGCGGCCCCGCGATAAGAATGACCGGAGAGACGGCTTGCGTTCCTTCAGATGTGGGGCATATTCTCCCACTCGCTCGAATGCTTCCGCTTGCTCCAATGCCTTCTTCGAAGTCAAGTCCTTCTTCAACAACCGCTTCCTTGTCTCTAGAGAGCAGCCCTCTTAACATCAAGTCCCGCTGCCACTGGGTTGACAAAGGTGACCAGCGTGAGTCGCGAGAGAAGGTACGTGTTAGCTCAGAAGTTTATTATATTTTTGATGAGACTGCTAAGGCATTATTCCATTGCGAGCTACTGCCGCGCTGCGCTACTCTCGCGGTGGACTTGTGCTATTAGGAGCTGGATAGAATGGCCACTGTCGAGATCGCAGAGAAGCATGGAAATTGCGGCATGATATCCTGCATTGCAACATTCATCCACGCACTACAACAGTGACCCGACAGAAGCAACTCGACCCTGGATGGGAAGTGGGAAGCCACCACCGTACAGCCAGGATACTGGTCCAACAGACTACCACCTTTTCCTTTCGCTATCGAATGCTATACAAGAGAAAACGTTCGAAGATGAAGATGACATAGATCGCTGGTTGAGTAACTTTTTCGAGTCGAACTCAGGGCAGTTCCTTGCTGGAGGCAGCCGAAGTCTGCCCGAAAAGTGGCAAAGAGTGATAGCATGCGATGATTGCTTCCCCATGTGCCTGTTTCTTTCAAAAAGTCAGTAAAACGATAACTGTCGAAAACCGCAAAGACTTCCCCTACAACCCATAGATTTTACCACTACTTTAACTTCAAACTCATGAAAAGAAAAAGAAGAAAAATTAATAAAGTTGAAGATTTCGTATGGTTCAGAAATCCTCCTCTAAATTGAAGCATACGTGACCATTCTATGGGCCACTATGTTTGTAGCTACGTCAAGGTCTCTTCCATGGAATAAATACAAGAAACTTCTAAAAGAATCAGGCGTGCGCGAAAAAAATGAGTGTAATGGGTGCGGGGGATATATATCCCGCACGGTCCGACATGGCCTGCAATGCGCGGGATATATCTTTCCCGCGTTGCCGTCAAGATGATAAACGTGTCTAGCGTGGACCGCGAGCTTGCTCTGCAAGGCTACTGTGACTACTGCTCAGCGGCTGACCACCCTCTAGGAAAACCGTTTTCTGTATATAACAGAGGTACGTTTCAAATTTGGCAAGATTTTCTAAGGTAGTATTCAAAATTACAGCTAAACCAGTTTACAGGCTTGCAACATCTAAAAACGTTGCTGTGTGATCTGAGAGTCTCCTACAACACTCATCCTCCCAGCCAACTCTTACGAGCTAAAGATAGCGCGCTGACTCATTTACCATGTTATCTTGAAAAAATACTCACTTAATGCTCTCCCAATGAAACTGCCTCATCCGGAAGAAACTGCAAACTTTCAACCCAAACCAAATACCAAGTCCATTACAAAGTAACACATCCAAAATGATGGCATCCCACCAGCACTCTTCGAAATTAGGCAACAGTTTCGTGAACACGACCTGAAAACCAATCTGTTAACACTTAGATTATTTCTAAAAGTGCGTTATCGATGTGTTTTATGTAGTAACTATCGTTGCTTGCAACAACTACATCTATAGAAATTTGACTGATGTACGTTGGATTTGACATGGAATGGGATGCAAGAATTTAGGGTGGTACTAAACCATTAGCGCGAGTATTAAGAGTTGTGAGACTTGAAAGTTATTTTTGAGAGCTGCACTTACTGAAATAGTAGGAATTGTAGTTTTCATTTGCGCACAATCCCGCCATAAAGCGGGACCTCTACCCCACTAAGTCTCAAAATATTGTAGGGCTTTTGAGTACGGAAGTGTTACACATGTATGTACCAAGAAGTTACCACGAAACCATCTCACAACTACCTTCCTTACATCACACCCCAGCATGCGAGCCTGAGTCCAATATTTCCCACTTCTACATATTTTCTTTGTTTTTTTTTTCTCAATATATTCATTCATCACTATCATTACTACCAATATTATGAGGAAGAACTACGAATTAAAAGAGAAAGAAACCATCTCCCCACAGTTACGCTGATTTGAATTTCTTTCGAAGTGTGGAGCATGGAACCATCAAAAACTCTTCGACATTTTCTTTTCGAATGATCAGAGAGGGGCCGAGCTGTTAGCCACAGATCTCCGCATGATTAGTGGTAGTAAAGGGTAGAGAGAAGCTCGCCGGCGGCGCGCGCGTGCGCGCGCTGGTACGTCGAATAATGTCCCAGCAAAGAAGGGCAAAATATGCCAGCGCCGCTGCCACTTCGCTCAAAGAGTGCTGCGCATCTGGCACTATGCCAACTTGTTCAACAGCTGTGCCACGAGCTAAATGATTGTGTTATGTACAAGTACAATCCTCGCACCAAAAACTAGAATCCTTTGAAAATGTAGAGGAAGTTTAACTTCTCATGTTAGCCTTTGAGTATACAGTGAAGTTCAGGTTGATGAAAGTTCCTTCGACTTCGGCTCCACTTCTACTTATTTCACAGTGGAGTGAGCGCACGGGGTGATATGAATCAGCTCAAAGTATTAATGCATTGGTGGGTGATCTGGCCCTTGCTCGCTCCCTCGCCGCCGCTGTGACGACACCTACACGCGAACGCGTCCGCGTCGCCGGTGAGCTTTTCCATGGAGTCAGGTAGTATCTGGTAAGAATTCGCACCTATCCTCTTGTTTCCTCACACAACCCGAAGAGCCCTCTTGAATGAAGTTTGACACGGGCTGATGAAAATTCAAACTGGCCAAAGTAAAGGTACTGTGGTATATTTACGATTTGGAGGCAACCCATTATGGCTAAAACAACAATCCCAGATAAAGTTGTGCGAAGAGCCTATTCTGTGGGTGGATAGAAGAGCCCACGCGTATCACGGATATGCATTTGTCGCGACTCGGAAGTGCCAGATATTGGCGCTAGGACCTTGCAAAGGGATGTGATGTTATAATAAGTACTGACTGGAAGCTGGTAAATAAGGTGATAGATGCAGAACTTCAACGGTTTTCAAAAAAATTCACAGCATTAGTAAAATGATAGAATTATGCGACAACTCCAGATAATCGCACCTCAGTAAGTTCCCACGCGATGCTGATATACCAGCATAGTATTCCGTGCCGTATGAGCAGTGCCTTCATGGCCCATCCTAGAAAGTGTCCAACGGCAAAAACATCCACATGACTCCACACTCTCTCAACAGTTATATCCGAGCAGTTTACGGCGTATGCCTGAAAAATATCAGCAGACCATAATTATGATTAGTAAAAAGGAAAACAGTGAAGAAGCATTAAAAGCAACTTGAAGCAGAACTTTGACCCCATAAAGGAGCGCTTAGAGGAAACAAGAAAAATAATAAGAACAAGTTAATGAATTCGAAGTTGAGCGTTCAACAACAATTATCCATAACTATGAGTATAGGAAGCAAGATTAAAGAAACCGATACCTTTTCTTCGAGAGACTCTTTGCTCAAGCCGTCAGGATCCAGCCAAGAAAGCACCTTTTTGATGTCCGCATAGGTTTGAAACAGAGTGAATTGAAGTATCATTAGATATATCACCGACATTCCAAATATGATTCGCCATAAAACTGGGTGCGGTCGGATAAATGGCCCTACAAGTGGATACAATATTTGTCATTTTTCGTGCGGGATATTGATATCAACTAAAAACCCCCTTCCGGAACAAAAAAAAACTGAGCTGAAGGCGTAACGCTAGTATAACCCTGATCTCCAAACACATCCCTTTTTCAAGTTTTACCCCAGCTCCAATAATCTAGAACTTTTCTCCTTTGATAGAGCTACTCCAAAGGGATGTGCATTGGGAATAGCCCCACAATTCATTACAGGTCATCATCTGGGAAACTGGGAAATTGCAAAGAAATGGGAGAGAAATGCAGAAGTTATATGTAAACTCGACTCGCTTTGACAGTTTTTCATTTTTTTCTTTCTTAGTTGCACTCAATCCACGCTGACATCACACAAAAGGTTCAGGAAAAACGCAACAACGTGCCCATTAGGCACCGGGAAAGGAGAGTCAAGAAAGTGTCCACAGGTTTTTAGAGCATTTCTAAAAAAAATTAAAAGAGTAAGATGAACACACAAACCATTGGGGAAGGCTAGAGCGCTGACAACTAGGAAAAGAACAAGCGTGCCCAAGCATCCATCATATACGTTCGAGTCAGTGCCGCGATCATCCCTGAAATAGCGAATTTTTCGCATCCGTTTCACAGCGCATAACATTTTTCGCTGCGGGAACCTTAGCTCCACCGCTGATCATCAGGGGATCAGATCCTTCCACAGCAATATTTTTTCTTATCTTCAGAATGAACAGTTTTGAGCAGGTACTAAAGGTCGAATCCTACTTTGCAGACCAGCTTGCGGTTCCAGTGTGGAACAAATGCTTATCGATCAAGCTATCGCATGGGATTCAGGATCGCTAATTGGGTACAATCCTACGATTAATAGCTGATGTTGTATCAGCTCCACACTTGAACTACAAAGTATGATTCCATCCTAACGAAATTACAACACATTGACGTGCATGTGACATTGACTCCATTGCTGCGTGAAGAGGTGCTCTCATAGACGGTCGTTCGATCGTAGCAATCACACAAATTATGTGAGTATCGAGTGCCAGGCCGTAACGGCCGCGCGATCGATACGTATCTGATGCTTTGCGATCGTCGCGCTCGGATAACTGCCACAAAAGCCCCGACCTGGCAATGCATAAATGTCCAACCGTACAGCATTAGATAGGTATCGATCGTAAGTGCGACAAGTGCGATCGCTAGAGCGCATTCATAGTCGATCGTCCGATCGTTACGATCGGCGACTATGAATGGTACAGGTTAGTTGAACTTTCTTCTATGGTCCTGTCACGAATGGTGGAGAGCAGACAATAAGAGAACGGCGCCTGGCTCGGCTCCAAATCAGGAAGGTGAGAGCCCTAGGACTAAGCCTTGTAGGAGGGAGGGACTTCGAGGTGGGTGAGCCAACTACAGTATGGCAAAAGTTTGAGTGTGAGCTCACAGTGGACATGCTGATAATGCAAGAAAGCGCAGACGAGAGCATTGAATTAAGGGCCTAGAGGACCGAATGCAAGTGGTCCGTAGACCAACCATGAACGCGCCCATAGATGCTCCCCATTACGTTGGCAGCCACTACTCACTAGTTTTCATATTTGCTTCTTTTCTTGATTTTCTTCTAACTTTCCGCTTGTTTGCTGCTCAATTTTTTCTCGACAGTTGGTACTGTGATTGGTAACTATTGGTGCTTGCTGTCAGTTCACTAACATATGGAAGTGGAGACCCACATGTGATTGGAAAGTCTAACTGATGGAATTAACGGAAGTTACTTAATCAAAAAAGTACTGAGAACAGTTCAGCACAGAGCGTAATACCCAGGCGCATACCCTGTGATGCAAAAATATCAGATGTGGGAGGGAAAAAACGGCAAGAGAAATGATGGAAACCCGAGAAGAGGTACTCATTTTTCGCATATGCACTTCGAAAGTGGACGAATTTACCGTTAACAGAGGTTTTCGGATGAAATTAAACGCTGGCAGCATAGCTACAACAGTGATCGCCAGGTAGTTACTGCTTCAGTGACGGTGCAATAGTGCACTTATGGATAGTGCAGAAAATCAACCGATCGACGGTAACGGTCTCAATAACAATACGTTGCCAGAATCATCATATTTATGTGCCAACACTGAGAGTGTGCGCCAGCAAAAGTGAAACATAAAACACTCACCCTGAAAAAGCTTTATAGCAAACGAATGTGCAAAGACAAGCGAGGATTGTTAGAGTGTGAGGTTTATATAACACTTCTAACGTGATATCCTCCACAACGCGATCATTTACCATTTGAAAATGTATCCGCTCTAATTCCTTTCGCGTACGTCGTCGAACGGTACGATGAGATCTGAACATTTCCCACATTTCTGACTGAGACCTCGATGATTTCGTTATGACGCTTTCGTTTTGGTTTGCGGCACCACTACACTATTACAACTCCAATAGGGATGAGATGGGTCACTTTTTTTCGCTGAAACTTCCCTTAATCAAATAGACGCCATTTGGTGCCAGGTGGCACCCCGATTTGATCACACTAAATTCGCTGTAAACTTGTACATATATAGGGGTGTTTGAAACCCTAGTTACAAATATGACATTCTTTTTTGTCGTTCGCGCTCTTTCAACGCATGTTTCTGCTCTCATAAACCCTCTCACTTGAAGCGCCTACGACTAAGCCAAGGGAAAGGGAGTGATTGCGCCGTAGTGGGTAAACCAAGCACCGTGTGGCAAAAGTTGAAGTGTGTGAGATCCACAGGGGAGTGGCCTACTCACTTTGGAGCCCTCCACTCTCCAAAGGCTTAGTCCTGATTGCGATCTAATTAGTGCGAGGGCGCAGACGAGCAGGAAATAGGCGCCAAATAGCGCCAACAACAAAAACGAATGTCATATTCGTAATCAGGGCCCAAATAACCCCTACATACAAGTTTACAGCGAATTCAGTGATATTCAGTCGCGCCAAATGGCGTGAATCTGGCGCCAGCGCCAAAAGTGGATGTCATATTTGCGACCAGGAACCTCGATGAACACCAATAGAAGTTTCAGCGAAAAAAAAATTTGACCCATTTCAATCCTACTGCGGTTGCAATAGTGCAATAGTGCCTAGTTTACTATACCTAGACTCAGTATTGTGAACTTCTACTTTTTTTAATCACATACTTGTTGTCATCTTCAGTATCTCCTTCTGTAGTACAGCATGCAGCATCACCGACTCTATCCTTTGGATTGAGACGAAGTTCATCGTTATCGTCTTCCCGTATGACCACACGACGTCTTACAGTGTTCCTGTCGTCATCCATCTATGAAGTGAGAGCGTAGCTAAACAGCAGTGTAATGAAAAACAAGTACCAACACATATGCTTCACTTCAATGCACGAGGGAACAAGTTACAGCGTTACGGGGTATTGTACGCTGAGGCTGGCAGCATTACCTGAACCGCGCTGTGAAAATGACGAGCAAATAAGTAGGCTTAGGGTTGTGGCACGTCCTAAATTCGGCACTATTTACCCTTTACTGCCCCACTCCTCAAGAACTGAGCCGGATTTTGATCGAAATTCGTCCATGACTGTGGATTTGGCTAGAAACTTGCCTTCAGGGGTAATTTGACCCGTAGAACACGAATATAATACCGGTTTAGAGCGAAAACGCTTGGCGCCCGCGCCACAGGCGCCGGCGCTATCACAACAGTTTTGCGCGGGCGCTCGTAGCGCAGGCTACAGGTTCACTCGTAACAAACTGATGTGATAATCATATTCTACGGGTCAAAATACCTCTGAGGACAACTTTCCAGCGAATTTGGGGATCCGAGATGTTCTGGCGCCTTTTGGCGCCGGCGCTTCTGACGCGAGCGCCAGGCGTTCTAGCGGTAAACAAATGTGATATTCGTGTTCTACGGGTCGAATTACCCCGAAGGCAAGTTTCTAGCCAAATTCACAGTCAATGACCAATTTCGATAAAAATCCGGCTCAGTTCTCGAGGAGTGGGGCAGTAAAGGGTAAATAGTGCCCTCGCGGTTGCCTAGGTTCCACCGTAACCATGTTGCACTATAGCGCACTTTGAAAACTGGAGCGCGCAGGCCGATCGAAGCACGCGTGCAGCTCGTCGGGATTAAACCTGAACCAGAACAGCTGTTTGCGTGTTCATCCGAGGCAGAACACCAAAATTCTAGCAGTAGATTTGCACGCAACCATACTAAGAAATCTTCTGTCTGAGTGCAAATCTGATCCCCACGAAAAATCAGAAAATTGAAAAGTGGGCGGATTATGACGTAGGAAAGCGGGAAGGTAAAGGTCCACCTATCTACCTGCACAGCTTTCTACGTCTAAAGACGCTATTTAAGCCCTGAAATTTCTTATAGTGTGAATTATTACAATAGATCCTTTCCAATCAAAGTGACTAACACTCTTCCCTCGACAAGGCTGAATATTATTAACATAATGTGTCTTTATTCGAGGTGTCCAAGATATTTTAAGAAAATTTAACCTTGAATTTTGAAGACATGTTCTCCCGGAAATGTGCCATAGCACATGTATAAAACAAATGGCAGGTAGTAGGGCACCGTTGAAGGATCGTGTTTAGCTGATGGGTCTTCGTCTTCTTCTTCAGGGTTTGCCCCGCTTGTGGTAGAGTCCGCTTGACTGGTACACTGATGCCACTTTTCCTGTTTGAATGTCTGAGCGGGACGGATACCAATTAACTCAAGTCTACATGCAGCGTAACACTGCTTTCGGCGTCCCTGAGCCGCTTTGCGGGCACGTCCCTGTTGAGGACGATCTTACGCCAGCATTTCC